GAAGTGATTGTCCCTCTGTACTCGGCACTGGTGAGGCCACAGCTTGAATCCTGTGTTCAGTTTTGGGCCCCTCACTTCAAAAAGGATATTGAGGTGCTGGAGTGTGTCCAGCGAAGGGCAACAAGGCTCGTGGACTAGAGAACATATCCTGTGAGGTACAGCTGAGGGAGCTGGGTTTCTTTAGTCTTGAGGAGGCTCAGAGGTGACTTCATTGCTCTCCAGCCTCCTGAGAGGAGGTTGTAGTGAGGTCGGGATTGATCTCCTCAGCCGTGTCTGCAGTGAGAGGACCAGAGGAAATGGTTGCTCTGGGAAGTGGTGAAGTCACCATCCCTGGAGGCACTTAAGAGATGTCTGGATCTGGCACGTGGTGATATGGTTTACTGTTTACAGTGGTAGTACTGGATGGACAGTTGGACTGGATCATCTTGCAGGCCTCTTCCAACCTTGATGATTTAGAGTGTTGTTTTTAAGGTATTTTTAAATTTCACATTTAGAATGAATATTTCAAAGTTCAGCATTAGATTAAGCCTGACTTTTGTAAATCATCATCAGAGTTCTCTAGGCTGCTTCAGGTCATTGTGTTGAAGACAAAAAAAAAGTTCTTTTTCTTTAAAAGAAAGTTATCTATTTCTGCAGTAGTACTACTAAAGAAACCCTTTTTTAAAACATAATTTTAGATATAGTATTGTCATTTTATAGAATATTTTATTTGAAATTTAATTTTAATTTTATTTTTAACATATATTTTAAATTCATTACCTGTACAGTTCAAATTTCTCATATCCTGTATTTGTTTAACATAGGTGTGCACGTATCCACATATACCCCTATAGCTATTAGAGATTTTCAGCACATTTGGGCTTTACAGAAAAAAGATAAATTTTGTTCCTTTCTGCCAGCTAATGATTGTCAGTACACACTGACTTATAATAAATTTAGACAGGGGATAAACTTATATAAAGAGTTTAAATCTGGGGCAAATTTCCTGCTGGATTTCCTTAAGCTGATTATTTAATTTTGATCCTTACATTTATTCAAACAAGGATATATGTATATGGAAAAGCTAGCTAAATGCTTGTTACATGATCTGATGAAAATGGTATTCTCAGCAAATCACTGGAAAAATGGATTTATAAATTCATAGAATGGTTTGGGTTGGAAGGGACCTCTAAAGGCCATCTAGTCCAACCACCATATGATGAGCAGGGACGTTTTCAACTAGATCAGGTTGCTCAGAGCGCTGTCCAGCCTGACCTTGAATGTTTCCGGGGATGGGGCATCTACAGCCTCTGGCAGTCTGTACCAGTGCCTTACCACCCTCATTGTAAGACATTTCTTACTTCTAATCTGAATCTATCCTCTTGCAGTTTAAAACCGTTCCTCCTTGTCCTATTACAGCAGGCCCTGCTAAGAAGTTTGTCCCTGTCATTTTTATAGGCTCCCTTTAAGTGTTGAAAGGCTGCCATAAGGTCTCCTGAGAGCCTTCTCCAGGCTGAAGAACTCCCACTCCCTCAACCTGTCTTCAAAGAGAGGTGCTCCATCTCTCTTAACATTTTTGTGACCCTCCTCTGAACCCACTCCAACAGGTCCATGTCTTTCCTGTGCTGAGGACCCCAGAGCTAGATGCAGTATTCCAGGTGGAGTCTCACTCTGCTCTCTCAGAGCACACTATGGGGGCAGAATCCCCTCCCTCACCCTACTGGCCATGCTGCTTTTGATGCAACCAAGGGTTGCTTTCCTAGCTGTGAACACACATTGCCAGTTTGTGTCCACTTCCACGTTCACCAAAACGCCCAAGTCCTTCTTGGGGCTACTCTTAATCTGTTCATTCTGCAGCTTGTGTGAATACTGGGAGTTTGCCCAGCCCAGGCACTTGTTACCAGTGTTCATCTGGACATTGGAACTGTTGACTGCTCTCTTCTGGATGGGCCCATCCAACCAACCCTGAGCATTCCACCCATCAAATCCATATTTCTCTAGTTTGGAGAGAAGGATGTTGGAGGGGACTATGTCAAAGGCCTTACAGAAGTCCAGATAGATGGCATCTGTAGCTCTTCCCTTGTCCGCTGATGCAGTCACTCCATTATAGAAGGCCACTAGGTTGGTCAGGCAGGACTTGCCCTTGGTGAAGCTATGCTGGCTTCATTAAATCACCTCCCTGTCCTCCATGTGCTTTAGCAAAGCTTCTAGAAGGATTTGTACCCGGGCACAAAGGTGGGGCTGACAGGTCAGTAGTCTCAAGGATCCTCCTTTCTAACCTTTTTTAGGATGGGTACAATGTTTCCCATTTTGCAGTCACCCAACTGCCATGACTTTTCAGATATGATGAAGAGTGACTTAAATAACCGCATCAGCCAGTTAATTCCCTTAGGATTCTGGAAAGTGTTTTGACAGATCCCATAGACTTACATACATTCAGATTCCTCAGGTGGTCATAAACCTGATCTTCTCTTACAGTGGGAGGGACTTCACTTCCACTGTCCATCTACTGGAGAGGTGTAGGAAGAGAGGTTGCCAGTGAAGACTAAGGCAAAAAAGTTATTGAGTACCTCTCCCTTCTCCTCATCTGTTGTTACCGGTTTGCCAATTGTGTTCATCAGTGGGGACATGCTTTCTTTGACCTACCTTTTCTGGCTGCATACCTGTAGAAGCCCTTCTTATTCTTTGCATCCCTTGCCAAGTTCAGCTTTAGCTTTGCCCTGGCCTTCTGACCTCATCTCTGCAAAACTGTGCAGCATCCTTGTAGTCTTCCCAGAATACCTGTCCCAGCTTACACTGCATGTGCATTTCCTTCTTGCCCTTCAGGATGACCTCAGCTCGTCTTATCTTGGTCTCAACTCAGCAATGCCAGTCTCATGCCTTCCTTTCCTGATTTCTTACACTCAGGAATTGATAGCTCTTGTGCTCTGTAGGAAGTCTCCTTAAAGATGTGTCATGTGTCTGAGGACAGTTTCCATGGCGGTCCTATTGACTAACTCCTTGAAGAGCTGGAAGTATGCTTTTCCAAAATTTACAGTCCCGAACTTAGTCTTTGCCTGTCCCATATCCCTCAGGGCAGCAACTTCACCAGTGTATGTTCACTGTGGCCCAGGGCATCTCCAGTCTTAGATTCATCTCTAATCACTGATTAGCTCATTTAAGTTGGACCAAGAGGTCCAGTGTTGTGTCCCCTCTGGTAGGGCTGTCTGTTACCTCTCTTAATAAGTTATCCTCCATGCATTCCAGGAGTCTTCCCCTGGAATAGCTTGCCATGCTACTTTTGGAGTAGATGTTGGGATGGTTGAAGTCCCACCTCAGGACAAGAGCCTGTGAGCATGATTCCTCCTGTAGCTGGAGCAGGAAAGCTTCATCAGCAGGCTCCCTGGATCAGACAGCCTGTAGCAGACCCCAACCACGAGGTTGCCTTGTTACCTGAGTTTCTTAATTCTTGCCCATAAGTTTTCAGCCTGCTCATGACTATTCGTCAGAGACTTCAGCTCTTCACACTCTTATCCGTTTCTTGTTGTAGAGGACAACAATTCAGCCCTTCCTTCCTGGCTTGTCCCTTCTTAACAGCCTGCAGCCATCCATAACCACGCTCCAGCCATGGGATTTGTCCCTCATGGTTTCAATACTGTCAACTAAGTTGTAGCCTTCTAGCAGCACAGTGGTTTCCAGCTCCTCCTGTGTATTGCCCATGCTGCGTGCACTTAAGGTGATCCAGCTTGCTAAAATGGTAGAGATGGTTAAACTTTATGTGGATATTTATCAGTTATTTGTGTGATCAGTTTTTTCCCTTTTTTTGGGGGTGTCTACTGATACATTATTCAGTAAAAGGAAAGTCCTGTTCCTTTACATCTGATACTTCTGCCATTTACTTCTTTTTTTGAGTTTACAGTAGGGGGGGAAATTAATAATCAAATTCAGTATGCAGAAGTAAAAGCAATTGTAAACTGTAGGTTTTATTTACACAAAGGTTTTGTTTGTCAGTACTTTCACTTCCTTTCCAGTTAGTTTTAAAGTTTGTGTACCTCTCAGATGATTGGACCGTTGTTATTTTGAAAATGGATGACAATTTTATATATTAAAAATAAAATCTCCGGGTTTTGTTGCATTGTTGGACAAGTGTGACCCTTCGGATGTCTCTGAAATGCATGACAGAGAGCTGAAATGCTGTAGGTGGTGGGGAGAACCTGTGTAATTCAAGTACAGAAGGACTGGGTGCAGACAAGACAAAATGGTTTTGGTGTTATGTTGATAAACCAGTACTGTTTCTGTCCGGTACTTTCTGAGTCTGTCATTTACAAGTCTGTTGGTTTCATGAGTGGGTGACACTGCAGGTGGCTCTGTGTTGATTCTCGGGTCTCTAGAGTTTAGTAGCAGATGACATAGAAAAGAACGTACTGCCTGAAGGCAGTGTAACTGTAAGCTGTTGTACCTGAGTAAACACCCAATGTGGTTATCAGGTAATCTCCATGGTGTACTATGCTGGCCTTTGTTGAAATTGCTGCAAGGAGTGATCAGCCCAAAATTGTAGAACACAGGTACTTGATTCTATGTGGAAAACCAGCTTTTCCCATAGGTGACTTTTTTTAGGATGGGAAGTGTCTAAGAGTATTCCCCAATATGTTTAGATTTATAGTGGATTAGTCATTTAAGATAGAGCAGTAGGGACAATTGATTTCTTTTTCTTGCTTGATACGGTAGTGTGGCTTTTTTTTTCTTTTAAACATACCGAGTTTCAGTGAAGAATTATGTTTTTTAATCTTCCATCTGTAGTTTACTGTGAAATGAGTTTCTTACTTGTATTTACTATATTTATATATAGTATATAATCTGTTGTGTGCTTAGCTGTTTCTCTTCATTGGCTTAATTTTCCAAATGAGACATCTAGTTAAGAGAGTTGCTGTGCTCCAGAGATTAAAATGCTGCAGTTAATTTGCATAAATGTAACTTTTTTCTTAAGATTCTATCAAGGTAATTTTTGTGAAGGAAAGTAGAAATCAAGGTGAAATGTCAATAGATGTGCCTAGTAATAATCTCTTGCTATGTATTCTTGAAGAGGTTTTACTGAAGAGGTTGTAGGGTGGAGGAAGGTGAAGAATACAGTTACTTGATGACGCTACTACTAATCTTAAGTTACTTATACTGCCATCTAAAGATTTATTTCCCACATAACGGGTAAATACGTGCTTGTAAGATCAAGAAAACCTGTCTGGTCAGTTGTGCAAAGAAGACCCATACTCAGATATCTTGGTGTGTGTGGGGTTTTTTTGTTTTGTTTTGTTTTGTTTTGTTTTGTTTTGTTTTTTGTGTGTGTGCGTGTGTGTGTTTTTTTTGTTTTTTTATTTTGCCTTCATTTTAACATGCTGGTTTTTTACATTTGCTCCTTGCCTGGTTTATTTTGGATAGTCTAGGAGTTCTTTTTCCTGGTTAAATTGTGTGACTGTGAGAAAAGCTGAATTATTAAAACTTCCATAGAACTTAAAAGCCCAGCACAGGCTTTCTGTCTTTAATAACACCCTGTATTTATTGCCTGTTTTGGGGCATGTAGAGATGAGTGAAGCAAACTAGACTCATTGCTATTGGTTAAAGAGGGAAACTTGAAAAAAAGTGTTTTCGTTTCATAGCTGGTTTTTTATCTTCTTCTTGTTAGAATTAGACTTAAGATCAATAAGGGCAGCTGACTAGAGCAGGAACTCTTGTGACCTACTTCATTGAAGTGCTGGTAAATTCAGCTTTAGTCTGCTGTGTTTTGGCAGCGGAGACGACTGCCCAGAGCAGGGCCGTAGAACAGTGTTGATCCATGTTAACCTGTAGTACCTCCAGTACCTCAGCAGAAATGACTAGGCCAGGTGGTTGAGTGGGTAAGTTGTACATTTGCCTCTCGAGATTGTCGAAGGGTAGTTCCAGCACCTTGTAGGTACAGGAATCTGCTGTTAGACTTTGAAGAGTACCAGTGATAGTGAAACATTATTTAATGTAATGTTCCTCCCCAACTCCCACCCCGCAGCCTTGAAATCTAGTTAAACTGTGTAACTTACTGCAAGTTCTGTATTTCCAGTCTGGTTGTTAAGGCAGTACTTTTTAAAGGAAGCTATCAGTATGGATGGAGTGCTGTTTAATCTTTCTCAGTTCTAAAATGCTTTTTGATTGGTTTTTATTATTGGTTCTTGTTTTGTCTACTTGCATTGTCAAAGTGGATGCAAACTAAATGAGTAAATATAAAATAATAAAATATAATTGTTTTTTATAGGTATTTTTGAGCTGACTTTCATCAAGTACTAAGACTGGAAAGATCATGGACATGTATGCCAGAGCTCAGGGCAGTCGAATGAAACCAAGAATATCTGTGAAACAGGTAATTATCTGCATTTAAATAAAAAAATATTTTAGAGCTTTTTGACCTAATAATGAAGCAAGTGAACTGGTTTGGTTGAGGTTTTTTGAGTATGGGTTTTTTCGTTAATATGTTTTAATTGTGGTTGTCCGACATTTCAAGGAGGCAAAGAAATTGCCTTTGCTTTGTGCTTTGGCATATTTAGTGCAATTGAAGTGGGAGAGAGCATAATTTAAGGAAGAGGTGCATGCTTTTGTCTTTCAAGGTGACATGATGAAATCATGATGCATTAATTTCCTAGACATTGCCTTGTTTATTGTAAGATAGCTTTTATTTTAGAACAGATTTTTTTATTTTATATGTAGTAAATTAAAATACAAATATGTAGTCTTCATTGATTTATGTGAAGTCTGTGTTAGGGCTTCCTGGTATTATCTTTATCTTTAGATCTCTTGGTTTCTTGTCTGGTTTGCCCTTCTGTTTACAGGAACATTTAGGAACTGCCTAGGTGAAAAAGAAAATATGTCTAGCACTTACAAAAGATATTAGAGGGTTGAGGGTTTTTTTATTTGAATAATATTTTTTTTCTTTTAAATTTTGTCACTTTAGCTTGGAGAACATAAATATTTTTCCTCAGATTTTGTTACAATTTATGTAAGTGCTTATTGAAAGTTGCAGTTTATCCTAAAGGAAGAAATTTATTTATCCAATTGTATTTCTCAAGGTAGTTGAACAGAGGTGAGTTGATAGGTTACTAATGGTTACTAATAATGTTTTTATTTGCAAATTGCTGCAAGGGTGAGAGGAGAAACTGAACAAGGAGGCATCTTGTCAGATGAAAATCACATTATTCTATTTCATAGGCAGATTTTGTTATTTTAAGGGAACAGTATCTGTGGTATATGTCCTGTAGAAACTATTTGAAGGCAAAGGAAAGTATTATGAGACAGTTGTTTCAGGTCCTGACATGGAATGTTAATGGACATATATTAAGCAGTTTGTAATTATGGGTGATATTCTTTCACTTTAAGACACACAGTATAAAACCTTCTATTTTATTGGTTTATGAGAACTCACCAGCTCAAAGAGTTCTTTAGCTACATAAAAGTAATTTTGCATTCTTAAAGGACTTTTTATAATCTCTTCTTTATTTTTTTTCTGCTTCCATTTACAAAACAAACCAAATACCAGTCTACCCATCACCCCCATATTTTTGAACTTATGGGTTACAGAAACATCTTTCCAGTAATGACAGTGACCAGTGATTCCTCACTGATTCTGATAGTTGCCTAAAATATTAGCTCTGTGAACTGCTCTGTTAATTACCATTAAGCATTCTGGACTGTGTGGTTCTAGAAACATGAATTTGACACTTCTCGAGTGTCTTGCAGAATTCTACATTTCCACACAGCCAGGCTCCAGTGTTTCGATCTGTGGCTGCCTCTTGATGTTTCCCTGAGGAGTGGCTGTTTAGATTATGATGTGGAACTTTCTCTCTCATAGAGCCAGGCACTAGGGTGATCAGAATTGCACTATGTTTCATCTTCTGTTGGTTCACAGAAGATTGCAGTCTGATTCCTGTCCTCTTTGTAACCCTTTGTCATAGTTAACAGGAATTGTTGCAGTAGTAGCTCTTAAAAGTTAGTGCAAAGTTATGGTATGCACATTTAAAGCCTAAGTTTCTATTTTTGCAAAATTACCTCAAAATATTTAATCCATTAAAATTTTACAGCACATGATGAAATCAAAAAGAGTTGCTTTGTTGCTTAAGGGCAGAGTAAGCACTGCTTACTCAGATTCTCCAGCACTGAACTTCATTTCTTGAGAGACTGTGGCATCTTACAGGTTGTTTGAAATTGTTAGAGATCAGTTGTTGAAAACACTTCATGAGATGAAATACTATAGAATTTCCTCCAGTGTAGTGTGAAGGGTCTGTAGATAATGACTTCTTGATTTGCTAAGGGGACAATGCAAATCTTTGAATCGCTCAGTTGAGCTAGAGGTGTGACAAGGATTTTCATTGTTAGGGTCTCAGCACCTTGATGATATTTGTGTTTTTCCCCTGACATTACTTAGTAACTTTGAATCTGTGCTCAAGAATGGCATAAGATTTCTTGCAAGACATGACTTCAGAATTTCTGAGAGAAAGGAGTACACAGACCTAGCAAGTAGAGCTTTATAGATTGCGTGGGTGTTTTTTACCCCTATGTCAATGTACACTGGAAGTAGTTGTACTATTTATTAAAACAAATTACCTCCTTTTGCTGAAGATGAGCTCTTGTCCTTACCTAAACTGAGCTTATAGTCTTGGGAACTTGCTAGTTTTCAGTTTTTAACGTAGTTGCGTGTCTCCTCATCTGGGATTGTCTTCATTGTCTGTTTGACAGGAGAGTTTCCCTGAAATTGAGTCCAGTCCTTTCCTGTCACAAGCACAGCTTTGACAGGGACAAGAATATGAATAAGTTACTAAATACACCCTCAGGTAATGAGGGGAGTTTAACCCTCCCACCAAACCTACTGCTTGCTGGTTTTAAGTATTTTTGAACCACACTGCAGTAATAACTAAGAATCTTAGGAATTTCAGGCTGAAGCTGTTCAACAGCAAATTTATACCTGTTTGCTCATGGATGTCATTATTCTTCTGCTTAAATAATTTATTTTCTTTTGCTGATGTTCACCCTTATGATTTTTTTTAAAATTATGTCCTCTGTTAGCCTTGGTTTATGGAAACCATGTACACTAGGGTTTTAGTCTGCTTTTGTATGAAAGCCTCTGCATTCCAGTGATTATCCTTCATAGTCCTACTTTCTGTGCTTGTTGTGAGTTAATCTTCTTTTTACATATGGATAATACTGTATGTGCAATTACACAGGATGTCCTTCTCAGTGACTGATGTCAGTTCTTTCACTGAAGGATGCACATTTGCTATTTTCAGTGCTGTATCATATTGACCATTCATTGCTATACCACGATCAAGAAGTCAACTCAGGTCTTGTATTTTCCAGCTTGTGAATTTGCAATTCTATTTTAAAGCTTGCTTTTAGTTTTTAAGGACATAACTTTGTGCTTCCTGTGGTTGCATTTTAAAACACTCTTGCGTTGGGCAGGTCCTTCCTCTGTGATTTGCTATTCTTCTTCTTAGCTGATGACACCTGCTTACTTTAATTATTTCAGTTTTCATCTCGTATTCCCTTTTTTCCCTTCATTAAATTTATTAATGATGATCCTTTATATCGGTCTCAAGATAAATTTTGAAGAAGTTGGTTACTGACGTACAACAGCTATTCCCCAAAACATCTCTGTATTATCTCTATTCAGGCAAGGTTTTTTTTTTCCAGAGACAACTCTTTTAGTAAACTCTGTCTTTATCTGGTTTTCTTAACTCTTCATATATTTCAGTCTAAATAATCTACAGAAGTCACAGATAGATGAGGTTTTTTTCCATGTATATGTGTTTTGCATGTTAATTTTCATATCTTTATTATTTTCACATTCTGAACTTTTTTTTATATTCATTAATATGATCTGAAAAGCATATGTCACTTGCACCTAATTTTAAATATGGTGTTTTATCTCTTCAGTTATGTACTGTTACCATGGGCTACCAGACCTGCGTATAGTCTTGTATGCTGGTTCTTCCAGGCCTTAGGGAGATTTTTACAGTTGTTTCATCTTTCTTCTTCTCCCACTTCAAATTAATATTCTCCAAAATGTTGAATTTTGCTTCACCTCAGTAGTGCCTCATGCCATGCTCTGGTTCATAGTTACCCATTCTGCCTTTCAGATGTAAAACTAGGGAATAGTACTTGCTTATAAATAAGGTGTATGTGATAGTTTGTAGCTTTAGAAAGCCCAGTTTGAGAATAACAATGAGCCCTTCTCAATCTGGAACACTCTTGGCTTGCAGAAAATTAGCAGGTCACAACATACAACTTTTTTTTTTTTCCCTAATTAATATTTTGAGTACTGTAACTGATTAAATTATTGTAGAAGATAAAAATGAGACATTTCAACATGCTTGCTTGACTTCACGAATTACTTTTGTACAAGATGAATGAAGGAATTTCTGGGAAGCAGTCTTTGAGCAATATTGCAGCCACCTGTAAATTTGGAAGATCCAGAGAATAAGAGAAAGACACTGGCAGCATACTTTGGAAAGTACAAAGATATGTTACTGAATTGTGGAAGTAAATTACAACTAAATATGATGGGGAAAGACAATAGATAAAACTGGAAATTTGGCAAATGCTTCATTAATTTATTTCAAATGAACCAATAACTGCATAAAATGCTTTTTAAAATAGTTCAGCTGTTGCTTTTCTATAACAGTTACTCTTTTGACTTCTTTAGCAGCACTTGGCCTTGACTGTCAGGTTGGTAGTGTAAGCCTTGTTTGCTAACATTCTGAAATGTATTTTGGTACTTTCAAGGATCCTGATGTTCTAATTTGCTTTTTTCTATTAATTCTAGAAATTCTTTCCTAATTTTGTGTTGCCATGAGCACAAGAATGGTGACACGGGTCCTGCTCTAATCCTTTGACTTCCTTGATACTGCGTTTTATACAGGGAAAAACCAAAATCTTTCTTGAGGTTTAACTGTGTTGTGTAATATCACCTTTTACTATAAAGGGATTGTTTTTCTTTCAGGTGTATCAGAAAGGCAAACATTCTCTGACTAAATTTGGTTGTCTAGCACTTCTGCTATTGTTTGAGAAATATGCAAATTTGAAATACCTTGTCGTAAGCTGGACACAATGATTTCTCACTTCATTTTTTAACAGGGCAATCTTTTAGAGAATAATTAAATGGATTAACAATTTTTAACCATATGATGATCTTATTTGTCTTCTCAACCTTACAACTTGCTAGAGAAGATGACAATTTTAAATGAAAAAAATTGCTGGCTTCCTATAACAATTGAGAAGATATTGCCTCTTTTATGAGCTGAGCGAACCAGTTTTGTTGTTCTGTCGTCTTATTTGCCTTCTGCACTTTGTTACACTAGGAGAAAGTCTTGGATTCTTCAGCCTTTTTTAGCCATCTGTGGGTGCTTGCATGTCACCATAAGTGTTATTATAAGAAATGTTACAAGAAGTGTTTACATGGGATTAAGTTTCAGTTGTTTCATATCCTTCACAGAATGGGGAAGAATGTGTGTGGATTTTCTTGGGTTTTTTTTCTTTGCTTGTTTGTTTTCTTCCCCTCTGACTTTTGAAGCCACCTGCATGACTTTTCTTGGCTAAAGTTACTAAGTTGCTTTTTATCTTATTTAAGGAAAAGCTGTTGAAGAAATTCCATATTTAGGCTTCAATGCAAGGAGTAGATGGTGTTTGGATTTCTTCTTGGATTCATCTGTTCTCTTTTCCAAGTTTGTGTGTTCTTATCTTTTTTTTTTTTTTTTTTAAATGCAGAACCTATTTTGGAATATAAGTATTACTTGAAGAAAAAAACTTACCTGTTTCAGTTCCATATCCTAAAGTGAATTTAAACTTCAAACCTGTTGATTTATATACAAAGTAATTTGAAATAGTAATTAGAGTGGGGAAGCCTATGGTAGGGTACAGGGAAGAGATGGATGGACCATGTATCCAAAACTGAAAATGCCTTTTTTTTTTTTTTTTCCTAATTTTTAATTTAATTATTTTTCAGAGTTTTGGTGAAGGTATACTGCACTCTATGAAGTCACTGCTACACAGCAGGAAAGAGTTATGCAATGTATCAGCAGAGGAATGCCTAAATCGGGAAGAAGAAGATAATTTTATTGAGGTTTGGCACAATGTTACCATTTATATATATTTTGTGGCTATGATAGAAAACAGTTTCACTTGAAACAGTATGGGGAGTTGCAGGATAGTAAACAGGATCAATGATTCAAGTTACTGGCTGTAAAATCTGTACCCTGTATTGTCATTTTTGAATTAAGTCACTATAGTCTTAAAACAAGCTGTGACATTTCAAGATTACATTTCTCTGCTTTGAAGGGTTCGTGAAACTAGAAAACCAAAATGTGTAAATAGATGACTTGGGTGGTACGTTATTTGCGAGCATTGCTGTGATCAAGGTTGTGTGGATGCTATCCTAACAAAGTAGCAGAACATTAGCAGTGGTAGACGTGGACAGAATGCAGGACTGTCTAGGTAAATCTCAAGCTATATGGAGGAATTACTAGAACTGTTTGAGTTACAAAACTACCAGGAACTTCTCCAAAGGGAAAAGAGAACAAGAAGCAATGTATACTGATGTAACCTGTATTAAGTGTTTTACAAGACTTCTAATTAGTAGTTGACAGGCCTGACAAGGAGCTTAGAGAAGGAGAGGATGACCTGAACTGGCCATGCAGAGGAGCTGAGACAGGGTGAAACGAAGGAAAGACAACCCAAGAAGTGGTTAGGGAGACTTAGGTAATTGCATAAGGAGTAGCAGGATGAAGGCAAGAGGCAGATTGTGTGATTGACAGAGAGGAATTGGGATTGCCTGGATAACAGCAGGGATTTTGTGATTGGATGGATACAATCAGGGGTTGCGACTCCTCAGAACATTTGCAGAGCAGGTGGGAAGATAAATTTGTGAAAGATCGTAGAATCATAGAATCAGATGGGTTGGAAAGGACCTCTGAGACCATCAGATCCAACCCTTGATCTGCTACCACTACAGTTACTAGACTATGGCACTAAGTGCCACATCCAGTCTCTTCTTAAATACCTTCAGGGACGGAGAATCCACCTCCTCCCTGGGCAGCCCATTCCAATGCCTGATTGATGAAAAGCTGTGGCAGATTAAGGTAAGGAAGAAGAGCTATGCAGAAAAACCTTCGCAGAAAAACCTTCGCAAAAAAACCCCAAAAAAACCAACCAACCCTATGGCAAAACCTTGTCTGTATCTGACCAGATGGACCATGCTTTAGAAATCTATAAAGCATTTTTTGTCTTACATTGCCAGCTATATGTCAGGTATGTTTTATATGCCTGAACTGATGGTCTCTATGGAGAAAGATAGCTGACTATATTAGCTACCTTATTAGAGCAAGCAATTAAGAGCCCACTGGTTGAAGTGCAAGAGGGTCAATAACCTGCCACAGAACAGGTAATTTTTCCTTACAGAAATATAGGAAAGAAGTGGAGAATGATGTTAATGGAATATTATTAGGACTGCAAAGATAATTACGCAGACTTCAGAAACCCAGTATCTAGGTTTTCATGTACCTTCAAATGTGGCATCTCATACACTATTTTTAGTTTAAAAAAAGGACTTGGGGTACTGATGACCTTTTTATTTCCCTGGCCTACTCCCTAACAACTTTTGAAGTGGTGTACTAACTTCAGACATGTTCAAGGTATTAAAAGGTGATTGTTTTTCTGTGAAGACTGTCACAATAAAGAAATCCAAATTAATATCGTCATGGAGGCAAGAACAGGCAAACTCAGTAGGGTTGTTGTCTTTTTGGCAGCAGTCTGCATACTGTGTACATACTGTTTTTCATTTGTGTGAAGCTATTACTCCTGCATATTGCCCTGTCTTGCACAGTGAATTTATCCTATGAGAGAATGGAAGGGTTGGAATCATCATCTTGAGGAAGAGGAAGGGACATGTAAGAAGACACCGGTTAAAAAGACTAAACAAAACTGCCAAAAAATCCCCAACCTCAGTATGCTCTAAAGCCTCTCAAAATGTTCTTCAGAGAACTAAGTTTTTTCCCAATTCCTTTAAATTGTTTGATATTTTGCTGTTTCTTTGAAGGAATTCAGTTCACATTGTAGGTGCTGTACAGATAAAAAGTCATGAAAGTTGAAAAGTGTCTTGAAGATACTGTGCAGGTAAATTATTTAGGAGTTGAAGAGAAGATGTAGGAGTTGAAAGATAACGTTGCTCAAACAGAATTGTTTCACAGTTAACACAGTGAATACAGTGGTGGAGATGTGTAATTTGTCTGGAGTGGTTTGGAATGCTACCATGAAGCATTGTTTCATTTATGATCTTGTCATAGCTGACGTAAGTGAATGTAAGTGGGAAGATGTTTTCTGGGGGCATGAGATCTTTTTCCCAGCATGAGACCCGGTCCCCTGAAATAAACACATCAGAATATTTCATAGTATGATTCCAGTTTAAAAGAAAGTTTGAAGGGTTTTTTTGGTCACACTTTGAAAGAACATATTCAAAACACAAATACAGTTAAACTAGAATTGTTTTTCAGCTATTTCTTTTTCTGACTCTGTACTTCTCAGAGATTCTGTGTATATATAGGCAGGTAGCTGAACCAGTTAATAATAAATTAATATAAACATAGTGATGTTCTTTGGAGTAATGGGAGTAGTTGCTACAAATTTATGAGCTGTGGCTGTAATACATAAAATTCAGTCTGTTGCATTGTGCTGTGAAATAATGGAACCCAAGCCATATGAAACTAATTTCAGACGTCAGTGAAAGTATTTAGTCTTTGTGCTTTATTCCGTATCTACAAAATGGAAGCAAAATTTCTTTTCTGACGACCATGTTTTGAAAGTAAGTGCCTTGGGGTTTTTTGGAGCATGCAGATACCCAATTGATTTGTCATTAGGGAAATACTAAATGAGAACTGAGGAAATCTGACGTTTGAAATAGAGTTAACGGTTTGTCTGCTTGGATATGGTGTGCAAACATGTGGCTTCAGTAATCCGTTGTGTTTTGGCCTTAGGCTAATCAATTTACATGGCAAATTGTATAATGTGTTGGCTTTATGCTTCCTTTAGTATATCCAAACCTGTAACAGTTTATTTTAGCATGGGCAGATTTCAGAATGGAACTGTTTTATATGTGCCCAGCCTGAAGCAAGGACAGATGAGCATTGATGTTGGCAAAATTGTGTTTATTTTAACAGATATAATGAGGCTTGTATGTGTTGCTGTGTATGTCACTAGAAAAATTTCTGTGTAATGGGTTTTAAATGTTGTATATGCTCTTTAGTCTGGCCTGCCCTTTCACAAGTCAAATAGTGTAGGATTACTAGTCTTTGAAAGACTGTGTGCTACTGTTTGAGCAAGCTACGCTACCCTAAGTTATGGTTATTGTGGCCATGGAATGAAACTATGTTACAGCCTGCTAAATTTTTAGCTCTTAAATATCAGCAGGAAACAAAAAAGTTCTTTTCTGTACTTAACTATATTAATGTATTTATTTTACAGATTACATTTATAGGTTTTGCTGAAGAGATGGGTACTGCTCGCTTGCAGGTATGATATATATCTGTCTATTGGAAAATAATAGCTGGTGCTTTCTTCTAAGTAGTACATAGTTTTTTAAATTGAGGAATTTTGATATTTGAGAAATGAAACTGATGTATCTTGAGCATGTAAAACCCTAAGTTTCAAATGTCATTGAAAGCTTGGAAATAATTATTTTAATATGATAATTGGTGTTTTATATATGTATTTACAATATAACCTGGTCAGTCTTTGTATTAGGATGGTCTGGAACAACTTATTTAAATGCGACAGAAGGGGATGATTGTTTGGGGGAGTTGTTGAGATGGGAAGAGGCTTGTTTGGTTGTGGTTTTTTGTGGGTGCTTTTTTGTTGTTGTTGTTGTTAAAAACTCATGTGTATCAGTATTTTGGTTTGTAATCTTCTCCTTAGTTGAGTTGTGCTTATTCATATGGTAAAGTTGCTTGTGTAAACCTAAAACTGTATTGAACTGACTGCTAGCTGTGAATTGCTGGTGAGGAGGTCAGAAGTCAGTGTTATGGCTATGCCTTAAGATAGTGTTCTGGAGAATTAGATCAGGAAATCTTATTTTAAAAGGTGGAGTGTAGCAAACTAGGAGGGTTATAATGTGCAATTTTTATAAGCTAAGGATTTAGTCTTCTTATACAACTTACACATTAGTGTAATTCATAACACGCATCTCCACAGTGCAGTTCCACACTTCTACTCTGTCTAGATCCTAGTAGATAGAGATTGCTGTAATAGTTTGCTGATGTTTAAAAATGAATAAAGAAACTCTGAATCCATTTGTGGTCCAACTTATGTCAGTGTTCCCATTAAATTATAATAACACTAGATATTCTTTCAAGAATGGATAAGAACTGTTTGATTGTCTGTAATTAGATGGAATTTAAAGAAAATTGGACAGAGTACATTTATGGAGATTTGCTTTGAACTGTAGGGATCAGTAGTGTTTGGACTGTTGAAAAAAGCCTATTAATCTCTCATAGGATTCTTCTGTGTTAGGTAAATCTAAAGGTTTTCCAAGGTCTTGCTTTAGGAACTGCCTTGTCCATGTTTTTGTAATAGGGAGCTAGAACACTGTTGCAATAAAGCACACTAAGAGCATGTAGAGATCCACTGAGATCCATTATTAGCTGAGGTCACAGTGTTTGCAGTTGTGTAGTTTGTAGGATGCGCAGCTGCTTTTCAGCACTTGAAAGATTCTCCTCTATGACTTTTAAGCATCTTCCAAGTATGGACTGAATTAAAGCTTTTTTACATGAGCTTTTACACCACAGTTCGAGAGAGTAAGTGGGGGATGGAGCAAGAAATAGGAAATAAAAAACCCCAAAAATTAGTAGCTGTTACTATTTAGGGGGGATATGAGATCAAACCTATTGTCATTTACAAGTTATTTTTTGACTTGATATTCTCAATGTGTTTGTATGTTTAAATCAGGAGTTGTCAGCTGTTTCTGTAGAGCTTCCAGATGTTCTGAAATCACTCCAGTTGCGCAAACTAAAGGAAAACGAGGCTATATTTCTAAAAGATGTAAAGAAAAGCTTGGCAAAACCTTGTGTCGTGAAACATCAGGTAAAATTTTTCAGTCTTCTTGCCTGTCAGAAGCATTATATTTCACTGCCTAAAGAGTTCAGTCATATCACACCTTGTCTTGCTTTTGGTTTTGGGCCATCTCAGCCGCAGTAATATTAATATTATATTTCTGTGGTTCCATGAAAATGAATGTCAGAAAATATCAGAATAAACAGTGCTGTATTGTCTACAGAAAATATTCAGCAAATATTTAATTATGGTGCTGATCCCATATTTCTGCTAGGCTGTACTCCCTTTCACTGCCAATTTGGAAAGAATAGGAAATTTGTCAAGTTGCCTGTCTCTGCTCTGCTCTGCTCAGATACAACTTTCGTCTTTGGCAGGCTTTTCTTGTTGAAACAAAGGTGCCAAAAATGACGTGACTGTCTAGTGGACTCCTGTCTTACAAAAAAAAAAAAAAAAAGACAATTGTAAATGCTGTTAATGATGTAATTTCCATTATTTTTATTTCGATACTGTTCCCATCATTGGCACGTTAATTATGTTCTTTCCAATTACCAATGTTGCATATAAGATAAAAAATACCTTGAAGAAACAAATATCCTATGAACTGAAGTACTATTTGGCATAAACACGCTGAAGAAATACTGTCTTCCTCTACAAATTTTTAACGTACATTCTTTAATAGATTCTTGGGAACCTGTTATCAGGGTTGTGTTACATTATTGCAGTGATTTATTCAAAATGCAGAAGTTATGAAAATGGGTGATTCTAACTGTTAGTCTACACAAACTGTTTAATTCATTTTCTTATAAGTATTTCTGAATTATTTACTCTTCATAAAAAATGTGTTGAAGGAATCCCTTGCTACTCCTGACAATTGAATTATTCTAAGATTGCTGTATTTGTTTTCTTGTTGCTGTCTTTTTCAAGAATCAACTTGCTGAAGTGTTTTGTGTGGTGAGACTGACTCCTTCATTCCCAAGGATCAAAGTTGATTATATATTTACCTTGCTGAGCAAGTATACCACAGGCATAAGATATGCAGTAGAAATCAACTCTTCACAAAAACATCAAACAGAGACATCCCATGGAGAAGATGATGACACTAATCACTCAGTTTCTTCAATTGAGGATGATTTTGTTACTGCTTTTGAACACTTAGATGAAGATGAACCTTCAAAGATACAAAATACTGGTAAGTTCTTGCTGTATCCTTGTAGAAATTGGTATTTGAAATTTAGGCTGTTGGGATTTAATATGAAAGCAAATGTAAATGAATAGTAATTTTTTCCCTTGATGATGTTTTGTGAAAGGGTATTGGGCAGTTGAAAAATTAATTTTTTGCTCTTTTCACAACAGTTTACCAACTCATAAACCAAAGATTCTAATCTCAGTGTCATACGTATATCAAATAGAATCTTATTTTACTTTGTGTGCTAAAAGTACGTTAGTCAGTGATTAGATTTGTGTAATAGGATTTGAAGAAAATGAAAGGTTACTTTACTCACGAATGATAAGCTAGCATTTTGCAACGATAATAAACCCAGCAGTTGCCATTAAAATCTGTTCTGTTTTCTGCAGTTTTGTGGAAAGAACAATCTTTTTTTACCATTTTTTTTTTTCAGGTGCATGCAGCTTTACTTCTCAAAACCATCGAGATGCTGCTTCACAGACCATCCCTGCTCAGTGTTTAGAAGCTGTTGACTCAAAGATCCTTGTAGGTTCTGCACATCAAAAGTCATCTGCTAGATCTTCTACTTTGATTGATGTTTTGGGACTTAAGGAACTGTCCTCAGTAAAGAATTCAGTAACAACCTCAATATCTGATCCTTGGATACAAAGGAGTTTCTATAAGCCATATAATCCTTCTGATCAAGGTGTTCATTTTTTACGTAAAACATTGTTTTCTTCCTCTCCAGCTGAATCCTCTGAGTCAGACTGCTCCAGTCCAAGCCCCATCATCTTCTTAGATGAAGAAGGGTATCAAAAAAGCTTGAAGGCAAAACTTCAGCTGCCAAAAATTCCAGTAGTGAAAGATGGTATAGAGGATTCAGACTCAGAAGTAAGTGAATTTTTTGATAGTTTCGATCAGTTTGATGAGCTGGAGCAAGCCTTGGAAAACTCTTGTAAAATTATTAGGGAACCCATCCTAGGGAATCCCACCCAGAAAAGGAGGACTGCACATGAAAAGTTGTCTTCTACAAGCATTACAATGAATCCTCAGAAGTTCAATTTTGATCGTCCCACTCTCCCAGCCAGTGTAAAGAAACCAACTCCTCGTAAGCCAGAATCACCATACAGCAGCATCTTCGAGGTCCCGGATTCCCCTCGCCCAGTTAAAACATCAGGGGAAGAGAATGGAGGCTTCTTCAGCCCTATTAGAACGTCAGCCTTCAGTCCACTGGGGAGCTGTGGTTCTTCCGAATGTTTGTGTCGAAGTAGTCTTGGTGGAGATGGGACAGGCCGAAATCACCATGATGCAGCTTATAATAGTTACTCGGCATATGCTGATAGTGTTTCATCTGAAATACTTGGTTCTGTTTTTTCTTCCGAGTCCTCATCAGTAAAAGTGTGTGCAGGAGATGATTCGAAGCACAAAAGGATTGCTTTGAAAGAGAAAAAAAGGCAAGCTGCAGATCTCAAAATGAAAACTAGTAAGGAACCAGATAAACAAGCAAAATCTAAACATAAGTCACTTATGATTAGAGATAGCATTCAAAAATTTGCAACTGAATTGGTTGAAAAAAGTTTTGGCAGTGCATTTAAAGACCTGCAAAAAGGTGTTTCCTCATGCACCAATGCACTTTGTCATTTGGCTGCTAGGTTGACTTCTTCGGTCTTTCAGATGGCTTTTTATGAGATTGGAAGACGTAGAGCAATCTCCCTTAAGGAACGTGCCATTAATGGGATAGCAAACTTTTTGGTGAGCGAAGCTATAACTGCTGCTTTGAAAGAACTGCGTCACGTAAAGAAACAAATATTTACCAACACTGTTGCACGGTTTGCAGCAGACCTTGCTGAAGAACTTGTGTTTGAAGGAATCATGGAAGTATGCCAGTTCTCATATCCATCGACACCTACAGCTTCACAGCCTTCATCATTTGATTATGAAAACAAAGTGGTAAGATCCTATGCCCGAGATTTGTCTGAATCTGTCATTCAGGAGGCATTTATTGAACTATCTCAGGTTGACGTGACCTTCACAACACAAGCAGCCATTAGTGTTTCCATGGACAATATTAAATATGTAAGCGCAGAAAGTATGTTAGAGTCAACGCAGACCTCCACAGTTTTTCCTAATTTTAATGATAGGATAGCACTAAAGCCAATCCAAGATTCCAAGAAGGAATATACAGTACATCAAGCTCTGTTTTGCACCTCTGGCATTGTAAGTTCAATACCTGTGCCCTTAGCTGGAAGAGCTCTTTGTCAACAACAGGTTTCCTCTGATGCTTACAAAGCAAAAGTATCAAGTACTCCAAATGCTGATGACAATGTGAAAGTATTCAAAGACTCCACTCATCCATTTTTCACAAGCAGAAAGAGAGAGGAGGAAGTCTCTTCTTTCAGAAATATATATCTAACTTCAGATCACGGTCCAAGTACCGAAAGTACTCCATCACTCTTTTGTAACCAAAACGATACCAAACTAACAAATAATAGATCTGGAATGAACAGTAGTTCAGAATTAACAAGTGGGTCAAAAGGCATTAATGCTTTCTCTGGAACAATGGTAGATATGATAGTAAATGAAGCTTATGAAGCCATAACTTCATCTAGAGTAACAAAAGCAGTAGAAGACTATACAGATTTTTTAACCAGAAAAATAGTAGATAAAAAACCTTACGTGCAAAGTATTGGTGAAGACTTGCCCAAGAATATGTTTGCAGATCATTTGGCCAAGTATGTCATAAAACAATCTGTGGATGAAAGTAAAACTGTGTTATGCAACACTAGTGAGAATTTAACATGTAATGTGAGCTCACAGACCTGCGGAGATACCAATCGAAAAGAACGGTGTGTGATAAAGAAGCCAGAGGCTGAGAAACAAAGTAATGTTTCTATAATTGTGGAACAACAACAGTTGCCTTTGAATAATCCATGTAAATTTCTTACTCCAACTCATTCTATTCAGTGTTTTTCAGAATCTAAAGATTGTTGGCAGGAACAAAAAGGACATAGATTTTCTTCGAAATCACCACCCCCTTGTTCCACTGTGACTTTTGCTAAGCATGTTCTAGAGGACTGTACTGACATGGGAAGCTGTTCAATAACATGCTTAAACAAGACTTCAAAAAAAAATGATACCCAGAAACTATCAGCAGGAGCTTTGAATTACAGGCAGGCCGATTGTTTTCTGCATGCAAATAGCTTTTCTTCAGTGATGTTTGGCAGTGAAGGTGCTTTGCAGATTGAAGAAAAATCAAGTCTCAAACATGGAAATACCTGTTTAATGCCCGATACACCCCCACCGACTCCTTTAGTACCATGTGAAGGTACTTCTGAAAGGAACCTAAGAAAACTATCCAAGAAACTCAAGGGAGAATTAGCAAAGGAATTTGCACCTGCAACACCGCCTTCTACACCCTACAATCCATCCATTACTGATTTTTCTGCAACTGAACATGACTCTTTGGAAAATGAGGAATTTATGCTTAAACTCATGCGGTCACTTTCTGAAGAAGTGGAAAGTAGTGAAGATGAAGATCATTCTCAGATACCTGTTGAGAAAGGGGAGCATTTGGAAAAAACAGTTCAGTATGCTGATTGTTTAGCTAGCCATATAGTTTCAATAGCGACTGAAATGGCTGCTTCCCGTTTAGATGGTAAAACAAATGAAAGAGATGCTGGTAGGCAGGTTCAGTTAGGTATGCAAAAGAAAATATGTGGATATACTGCATTTATAAATATCCCAGAAGAGACATGCAATTCTTTATGGAATTATGCAGGAGATATGGCAGGAAAAGTCATCAGTGAGGCCAAGAAAGTAGTGAAATCAAGGCATTGTAAACTGTTGAGGTTGAAGCGGGTTAACTGTCAAGTGGATTGCTTTTATCTGAGAAAAAGCGATAAAGATGGTAGTTCAAAAGAAGGGTGTGGTCCAGTGCGGGACCAGTGGCTGGGGGACAGGGGCTCATCTGTACTTCCTTTACCACAAGGTTCAGGCACGACAGGTTTGACTTCCAAGTACCCGAGCTGTGAAAGTGTGACTGACGAATATGCAGACCATGTCATTCGAGTTTTGAAAAGAGAAGGTGGTAGTGCTGAGCTGTTAATGGATCAGTATGCTAGCAGACTTGCTTACAGGTCTATCAAATCGGGCTTGCAGCAAGCTGCTAGAAAAACCAAAATGCGATACAATAGAAAGATGTTTCCTGCGCAAAATGCACAGGTAAATGGTAAGCTGGAGCTGATCAAAGCAGTGAACAAAGATGCAGTACAGCCAGTGAAAAGCAGCATTCATCACTGTGAAGGCCAAATGTGTGAAAGGAGTGTTGGGACGCAGAGAACAGAATGTACTGAGTTGTTGCATTTTTCAGGATCCCTTGCTCACAGTATCACTTCTGATGTCAGGAAGAAACTGAAAATGTCGGGAGCGTCTTTGCCGAAGTCTCTGACAGATTCCTGTCTGTATAAAAAGACTGAATTTGATGAACTCACGGGGGATCTCATTAAAACAAGACTTTCTAGGACATTTCTTCCTTTCTCCCCAGATCATAAACTGTATCATAGTACAGGTAGTATAAATGAAAATGGCTACACTGAAGGAATAATTCAAGCTATAGAACAATATGCTAGAAAAGTCGCAGATGATACTCTAGAAATGAGTTTAGAGTCAGCTATTCTCCGTGTGGGTGAAAACAGAAAAAGTGGCGATAAGCTCTCGTATACTGAGAAACTGTCTCCTTTTTCTGGAGCTGTCTGTAGATGCTGCAGTATGAAGGAACACCGGTACTGTACAGAAAGTATGTCTCATCATCTACCTGCACAAGAATCCTGCATTCCAGTGAGGCATTTACTTCATTCTGGATCGGGTGGTGCCTGTCAGAATTCAAGAGTGTTTCAGCTTGATATTCCCAAAATTCACGTTGATGTAGAACAGAGGACAGTGTTTTCTGACAAGGGGGCTACTGCAGCCATAGAGAAAGCAGAAAGAGAGCTGAGTTACACAAGTCTGACGGCTGACAGTGGTATTGGACCAGATGGAGTCAGTTTTGCTGAAAGCCTTACTACTGAAATAATGACATCAGCTATGACTAATATTGGTCAGGCAGTTACCATAAGGTAATATTAATTTTTTCTTTTTTGTTGCATTTTGTACTAGAGAAAGGATTGTTAATACAAATATGTGCTTAGAAGGAATTTTAGTATATAATTTCTTAGAAATGCACACTTTTATGTTCTGAATGTTTTCTTTTTTTTCTTCTTGTGATATTTAAATCAGAACTAGGAAAAAAAAAAGCTTTTTTCCACCTGTATGAGCTTGAAACTAAGGTTTCTATTTGTTATATCAGCATGGTTATGTTCCAGTAGGTGACTAGTAAGTGGAACTTATTATTTCAACTTGAAAATACTACTTACAGTAAAGAATACTAGCCCTTACAGATTTTTGTTGATCTGTGAGCTGTGACAGAATCCAGGTTTGCTCCCTATTTGTATTTCCTCTTCAGCATCTGGTGCTGGCCAAACGAGCCATCGCTTTGTAGTATGAAGGCTTAATTTTGATAGTGGCCGTGCTGTGATAATTTCCTTATTATTGTGGGGGGGGGAGGCCCAGCCTGTTACTCTAAGAAAAAAACAACTTACTAAACCATACTTTATGTTATAGAATAGTAATACAATGAATTAAGGAATTGACTTCGAAATTCTTGTGTATTTAGCAAAGGATAACATGCTATTTTCCTTTAATAGGCCTATAAATAGGAAATACATGCCACAATAAATTTGTGACAAACAACAACTGTTTCTTAAAGCAGACTGTGCAGTGATCAAAGTGAAATCTCCTCTTCAGGCCCCAGAGCAATCCTTACCATGTTGTATTTTTAAATTTGAAGTATTTATATTTCTGCTATGTTTTTTTTTTTTGAGGGCCATCATGATGGACAATAAAATTGATTATTTTGTGTTCAGTGAGTGGAGGCCACAGTGGGACTGAACTAGAGTTTTCAAGGTTTGATATGAAACGCATACATACTAACAGCATAAAAGTGCTCATGAGATGTATATTTCAGTCTTTGCACAATGGGATTGAGTCCTTAGTGTGTGAAAAAAGAGAAAGTAGTCATGTGGTGATGTTTTTTCTATACCTACAGTAACAAAGATGACACTTCATTTAAAAATTGTAGTCAGAATATGTCAACAGCAAAATGCAGGATTCAAAGAAATGTTATTTATTAGTAAATTTGTAAGGAGGCGATATGAGAGTTTTACTGTGACAAAATTTATAAATGTTTTTTACATTGTCATCTAATGTGTGCTAGGTAATTCATATGTTTCTTGAGAAGCTGCCTTGTGTGATGTAGAGAACTGCTCCTAGTGCTGGTATAAACTGTAAATAAAAATGAGGAAAAAATTTCCTCTGTACTACCCTGCTGGGTTGCAGTTCAAGCTACATTTTTGCTTCGTATGTATGTAGATAATCGCAGTTTGCCCATGAAAGTTAGTTCATAACTGCATGTTCTCATTTTGGAAATTTTTTTGTGTAAAGAAGTTTGAACTCCTTAAATCAGTTTTTGGAAGTATCTTTTAGAGACTATGTTTTATGGACTGTGCTTGATTGATTGTTTTCTGGATAAAAAAATGAAACTAATTTCCTGAGGGAAAAATTCTGTACAAGCCATGCATTGCTACACTTTCTTGAAGGAGGAAGGCAAATCTTTTTCTACAGAAAGATCTTTTTAAAAAATGAAATCCTAACATTTTAGACACCAGCTCATACTTAAACAGTTGGCCTACGGTAGCAGACCATTTAGCGGCTTGCACCAAAAGCAGGCCAGGGAAAATAGCCAAAGTGTCCTATGGTGAATAAGTTCAGGAATGGTAAGTCTTCTGCTTGAAAAGAGTACCTTGATACACAGTCTGCAAGGCTATAATGCCTTCTGTGCTTTACAGCAATAATCTTCCAAATGAAAGAATTATTTGTACCACTTCCTTTGACTCCTAGTGAAAGAATTCCAAATAGCAATCCCTGACCTAAGCCTGTTGATGTTTCAGATTGATTTGGTTGCTTCATTCTTCTGTTGAGGATAGAGTACAAATTAAGGGATTCCCCTTTTTTTCTTTTTCCTTGGAATTTAATGGCTTTAAAGTCATGTTAATTACACTGAATAACTAACACAGATCTGCGTGAAATGTAGTGATGTTTTTGTCTTAAATTTTTGTTTAGCTCTGTTGGAAGAGAAGGATTTCACTCTGTTGAATCTGTTGTTAGCCATCAGATGAGTCTTAGTATTGGTGATGATAGCACTGGGAGTTGGTCCAATCTAAGTTTTGAAGATGAACATCCTGATGAGAGCAGCAGTTTTCTTCACCTCAGTGACAGGTAACTATAAACATGTTAGTGTAGTTAAACAGTTATCTTGACATCAAATAACTTGTCATCAAGTAGTTTTCTCTGGAGCTTGGGGGAGAAGAGGTTTTGTCTTCAGCACAAAATGACTTTTTTATTAAAAGTGGCTCTAATATTACAGTTTTGTTTTCTTACAAAATGTCATTGGCCACAAATGTTCATATTTTAAAATATGTGGCGTGTGTATTGTCATTGATGTCAGGGAGTCACATCAAGTAAAACTGTACATACAAAATTTTAAGTATTAGCAAAAAATGAAAGCATTTTAAAAACAGCATTTTTAAAAGTTTTTATTTACCCTGTGTGAAATACAACCTGAGAGTACCATTTATAAGTTGTGCCCTAAAATATTAAAACGTAATCGTAGAGAATGCGTTTTATACAAATTTATTTATTCTTGAAAATAAGTAATACTAGCTTAATTTGCATGAGGAGCTTTTACAGCTATTTTTGTCTTTTTTGGTATTTATAAACTGCTCTAACTGATATTGGTGGAATACGTATATACTGCTAACCATGGGCTTGCAGATGTGTGACATTGGAACTTACCTGTTCAGGGTAATACCTTCTCACTACACTTTCCCTGGCTGATTGATAGCTAACAAATATTAAAATGGGAATTCTAAAATCTGCAATGTCTGCCTGTTGCCAGGGAGAATTATACTGGGAGTTGTAGCCCTAGCTTCTATATAAGGAATATATGAGGAATGAGTAAATTTAGATTTTTATGATTGGTATAACACTTATATTGCTGTAGAAGGTCCAGCATTTTTGTTGAAGAATAGCAGAAGTGGGGGAGAGGTTTTTTCTTTAGTTAGTACTTCCAGCATCTCTGAGGTTAAAGGAAGTATGGGAGATGTTCTTTCTTACGTAATAGACAAGTAGGTTATTTGGTACCAAAGTGAAACTACTCAGTTAATTATTTTTCTGCAATATTTTTCATGTTTTGCTTAACTAAATAATTTAAGCCAACCACTACTGTAATTTATCTCTCATAAAACTTAATTATTTTGTAAAAAAATACATTAGACTTATTTTAATAAAATATTACTTGTTGAATGAGTGAAAATGAGTTAGACTTATATGAGGAAATTCACAATATAAGGAATAATATTCAGCATATTGGCAGTTAAAAATAGAGAATAAAATATAGGTTAGTGGATACTGGGAAAAAAAGTATAAAAAAAATTGCTGGGCCTGCCATATCTGTGTTGCAAATGTTATTTATCATCCCCTAAACAGATATAAATGAAAAGAAGGTACTTTATGTAACTTGGAAGAAAATTTGTGGCTCATTAGAGGAGGAATGACCTAAATTAGCTCACAGAAGGGGAGGCATAATTAGATAGCAAGGTGTTGGCAGGAGAAACTAACATATGCAAATCGATCAGCTGATTTTACAGAACTGACTGTGGATTGGTAAAAGCACGTGTGTTCATTTGTGTTGCTGAGCTTTAGCAGGTGGAAATGACAGGATCTGGGGTTATTACCCTGATTAAAAAAGATACTGGGGGAGACCTGTAATAAGAAAAGATTCAGAGAAGTAGCCAGCCCGGCTGCTAGTGCCCACACAGACAGTCACTTGCTCCTCCCAAGTGGGATGGGGTAGAGAATTGGAAGAGTAAAAGTGAGAAAGCTCATGGGTTGAGACAAGGACGGTTTAATAAGTAAAGCAAAAGCCAAGCACAAATCAGTATAGGTGATACTGTTATCGGCAAACTCTTAAAAAGAAGTTAGTCTCTTGAAATGTTCCTTTTCACTGTTTTGCTGTTTGCCCTGAGTGGTATGAGAGGAAAAGAGCTTCAACAGTCGCAGAAAACTTAGGTGAAGAAAGCATCTTCTTGCAGCAGTTGTTCTGTGGAGAGTTACTTCATATATACTTCTCATACCATCTATAGTAGACAATCTAGCTTTCCCAAAGAATGCTGGATATCTGGTAGTCCTGTTCTTGGAAGGCTTCCAGACATCCTCTGGGGGAGGTATGAAGTTGGGGAAGAGAGATTTAATTATATGAGTAGCTCAATCTTGTACGTAATCACAGGCTTAACAAAGTCAGCTATTTATAATGACTAAAATTAACGAGGGTAATAACATGGTCCATTTTTTCAGTTCTTTGAAATGGGTTGAATGTAGTCATGGGTTAAGTGAGTATTTTTATGAACTGGGAGTGAAGTAATCTTTATAGTATTGTTTTCACAGGTTTATAACTCTTCCCCCCCATTTTTAAAGGTTCCACTTGCAGAACGATATTCAGAATTGGAAAAAAATAAAATTATTTACTATAGGAATTCCTTCTTATCAGGCTGCTGGATTTTTGGAGTGAGTTGGAAGGATTTTGATTGTGCAGTTGTCTTCACAATGCATAATTTTATTAAATCTTAGCTAGTCCTTAAACAAATATTGCAGTCGTAATCCATATTTCTATAAGTAATCATTTCGAAGTTGTTGAGCCTGTGTAAATGATGAGCAATATGCTTAGACCTGAGGACAGAATTCCTGCTAGCACTGATCTGGAAAACTATTGAGTACAAATTAGTACTTTCACCTGTGTACTGAAACTTACTAGTTCTGCAGTGTTATGCGCATTGCTGCACTGAGTAGCACTGACAGTCAGGTTTGTACTCTGTTCCAGCAAACCTGTTTAGGAAATTTCAGTGCTCTTGCATTAAATGTCTTGACAAAACAGTTGTAAGGAAAATGAAGGTTCTAGTTTGAGCTATTGTTCTTTTCTAGTTCAGCCGTGTTCTCTTCTTCTCCTGGCAGTAATGGTAACAGCAGTAGCTGGAGCAGTCTTGGTTTAGAAGGGGATATGTATGAGGAGAATTTATCCTTTCCAACATCAGACAGGTTGGTTGAGTTGAGAAATATAAACCAGATGGGTTCCTCATAATTAATGCATGAAATAATCATTTTGGAAGATAAAAATACAGTGCATTTTTTATGCTGATACATTATTCACACTCTTGTTGCTTAATCACAATATGATTTTTTCATTAATTAATCCATCCTGAATGATTAAATTTTGCTGTGCTAAACTGATGTTCTGCTTGCAAAATGAAAGGTCCCTTTTCTGCATGTTCCTGCCTGCAGTTTTACAAGTCTTTAGATTTAGTTTTCTTTCATGCAAACTAGAGCTTGCTTCTTAGAGGATTTCTTTTTTTTTTTTTGCTTGTGTAAACTTTCAAAATTGCTTAATAATTGATTTTAATAGAACACTTACTACTTACAGCTTTGAGTAACCTATAATTATTCATACCTGTGACATAAGATGGTTCAACTTTTTCACATAAGAAGCAAAACTATTAAAATCAGTGTTTTCTTCTTATTTTTAAATATCTTCATGTTACAATCCTTTTTAACACCCTTCTCTTGTTTCTCTCTTCTCATTTTCCGAAGTGTGAAGTGGATGATAAATCTGTTTCCATCATGGAGTGGTTTGAGAAGCAAAGCTTCTTTTCATGATCACTCCTTAATTCTTTTATGATTTTCCCATCCTTTAAACTTCATTACAGTCTTAGGATTTACGTTTATTGTACATATATTGGATTGTATTTGTATTATTTTTGTTTGCTTTTTTAAATGCAGTGATGGAACAGAAGATAAAGATGAAGATTCCAAGGATGCTGTAGAAGGTAATGTCAGTTCCAGCATATACTACTGTTCTTGTCCTGTGCAGTCTACATTAATTATTTTATTCTTTGCTTTTGTAGTCTGCAAAACAAGGAAACAACCCTATTATCCCTATTCATCATAGTGGAAGTCAGCCAAGTGTCAGAATGTATTGTTAGGTTAATACCCTACGTACTTAATGCACTGAAATTTACAGCCTTTGGGAAATGCTAGTTTCTGATGCTCACATGAGCATAATTAAGGTAGCAAACTCTGATCAGCTTGAAAGCATAAATTTATATGTATAGAATAACTTTTTTTTAAATACTTTTAAAAAAAAGTGTAACTACTTCTTAAGGAGACATGGGAATCATCTGCATGGCTGTGTTCGAGATGCTGAAGAAGTTATTCAAACTGGACACATTAACCTTGGGAGAGAGTCATGGGAAACAATGAAAAATCTTGTATTTGATGCCTTTGCTATATTCCCTTTCTTCTTAGTGAAGTATATATACATTATAGTTTAGGCATCTTGTAATACGCAGCTATGTTTGCACACAATAAACAGTACTTTGTTATGTGAAAGTACTGTAACACTTCAGACCAGCATGATTTTTTCCTTCCATGTGTGTACTAAATTGAGGTTTTTAAGATAGTAGAGTCTATAAACAGTGAACTACAGAGATTTTTTTGAAACAGAGCTACAGATTTGATGATTTTTATTTTTAATGTTAGGTTTGGAGCAAATCCGAAAGACTTTATCAGTAGCGAATATTGATCTGGAACGAAATCTAGTGGACCCCCAGCTCAGAGTAGCGCTCCAGTGGCTGGCAGCTTCTGAAACAGAGGTGTCTGATCTTCACTTCCGTGACACTGCCTCAAGGGAATTTGTCTTTGTAAGTACTCGGGTTTGATGGGTGGTGGGAAAGGGACTTCCACTGGCTGATACAACAGCTGCTACTACTTCATTTGCTATTCACTGTTGAGGAAAATCGTTATTTAAATCCTGAGAGGTCAAAAGGGAACAGCCTGGTTATAGAGCCTGGTCTATACAGGCTGTGTATATACCGTACATTAACCAGTACTGTCAAAGCTGAGTTAGCTTGTTTCACCAGTGGTTTACTGCAAAAAGGATACAATTAGAGCATTTTTGATTGAAAAAACAAAATTTGTTGAATATTGTACTTTTTCAAGCAGTTTTTTAACTTAGTGTTTAATTGTCTATAAATTGAATCTTTCTGAGAACTTGGTCATGCAAATTAATTTCTAACTTAATATGTTCTGCCTAAGGAGTTTTTTTGCTAGCAAAGACACATTTTCTTGTTAGAAAAAAGTTTAGTTTCCGAGTTAATATTAAGTATGTCTTTATTCTAAAACCAAACTTTGTAACTGAAACCAAAGCTATTAAGGAAGAAGGCTCAATAAGATTGCTTTATTCTTAGATGCCTTTATTTTGGGTTTATAGATTGAATTTATTGTGACCCAAGAGAAAAAGCATAACTTTAAATAATTAGGCTTTAGCAATTTGTGTCTCTTTGGGAAGGCTCAATATTTTGGTATGCGTATTGTCCTGAGTATTTCCATCACAAACATATAAGAGGAACTTATTCCTGTAAAATCATCAAAATTACTCTTTTGTGGCTGCACACCAAACTACACACAATAATCTGGAATTTATTACATTCAACATATATTTTTTATCTTCTACCAAGGAATTAGTTTAACATTAATAGGCTATTGAAAGGCTAACTTATTATATATATAAGCATTGTCTCTAATGATGATGTTCACAGGAACAACAAATTATCAAAGATTTATGTTTTGTGATCTGGTAACATGAAAAAGCGTTAATGTGATGCCATTAGTATGGTTTTAATAATTAAGATCTTGGTAAAACTGACTTAACGTGCATATCAGTATATTAAGGGAGGAAAAGCTTGCTCTCAGTTCTGAAATTTAGTTTTGAGTTTTCAGCTTGTTGCTTTTCAAAGCTCACATCATCATTTCAGGAGAAAAGAGGAGTGACTGGGAAGTAGAGTTCAGTATGACGAAACAGACTCCCAAATTTAGATGGATGTGTGCACCCATGGTGCTTAGTTATTGTAGACTTAAAAATGTGAAAGGTGGCCAGTCCAGATTGTACCTGGTCTGAAATGTCCTGAGACTGGCTTCTCCTTTCTAGCCCACAGAGACAGTGATGATTTGGGAGTTGTTTTTTGCCTGTATAACTGTGTGGTATGTGTGTTTGATTTCGAGATTGTGAAGTTTTTATTAGAAGTAGCCCAGAAAATAAGGAAATGGTTTTTTATATGTAGAAATATATCCCCTATGCTCCTTTCTCTGGAGCTTGGTATGTTTGATTTAGAACTATTTCAGGAATATGCTTTGTTGTATGTTAGTTCTGACAGAGTGAACTTTATGATTTCATAAACTAGAAGGCAGTTTGAGAATACTACTCTCCATTTTTGTGTTATTTGAAATTGTTTTAATCCTTACCTTTGTAAGTTCTTTTTCTGTTATGGTTTATAAGTACCTCAATGCAAAGAAGAAAATTCTTCACTTTTTCTGTTCTCACATGCCTGGCCCAGCGTTCCCTGAAGTTTTTTTGATGGGAATGCATTGGGAGTACAGTGTTTCTTACCTTGTGAGGTTTTTTGCCATCTTTTGAAGATTTGTTCATCTGTTTCATACTTGTTTTGTGCAGTGTTGCAAATACTCAGGTAGGATAGTGGTAGGACCCACAAGTGTTAATTTTATTTTGTGTGTGTGAGAGAGACCTGTTATCTTACATTGCACCATAATCCATAAGCCAAAAAGTAGGTACCTCTTTTTTTAATTTTTCCTCAAGTGTCTCATTCTTCTGCCAGCTCTGAGTTAATAGATTTCAAAGTTGTGATGACGCAACTTGAGCCAATGCTGAAAGACATACAGGAAATAGATTATTAGCTGGCTGTGTATCTGAGCATCACTCCAGCTGCCTTAAGAAAAGGATTTACTGAGAAGAGCACTCTGGAAAATGTTATGTATGCACTTCTAAAAAATGATAATATTTTTCTACTTGACACTTCAGTCATAAATTGATACCGAGTTGACACCTGAAGATAAGGCATAAGACCTTCAGGCAGGCAGTAGTCATGCAGTCCTGAAAATGGGACAGTAGTTAATTGTTTCACTTAGTTTTATAGACTATTTTTAGTTCTTAGAATCTCCAGGTTCAATTATGTTAAAAGAATTTGAAATCCTGTTTTCCTCCCCGGGGACAGGGAAGGATTACCTGTTTATAATTCCATCCCATTTCCCAATTGGAACTGTCTCTGACCCAGACTTAAAACTTAAGTTAAAGTCATTCCGAGTTCTGTCCCTTGTAAAGCTGAGCAAGCACCTCCAGAGGGCGCTGCAGCCCAGCGGGAAGTGAACCCAACCCTGCTGTGCTGGTCCCTGGCCAGCTGTGGGCTTTGGGGCAGCTCATGGTACCTTGGGTAGTTACCTCAGTTATGTGGGGAATGAACCCGGGCTCTGGATTACACTGAAAACAGTAATTTTCAGTATAAGCAGTTTGGTGAGTTCTGGAAGGGAGGAAAGGCTTGTGTTAGCTGGTCACAGCAGGGTAACGAGCCACTGGTGTGATGTGGCTGTTTGAAAGGCAAAAATACTTCTGGCACATAACAGGCAAGGTATTACTTGCTGCAGCTTGGTATGAACTCTTACTTAAGGGTACATGTTATGCTCAGTAAAGCAGAAAAAAGTTAAATACCTATGAAACAAAATACGTTAGTTATGAGCCATAACAAGAAACCAGTAAATTAGAGTAGATAGTTCTTGACTTCTTTGAGAAGCCTGGCAATGTGGATATGCCTGGATTGAAAAAAACACATATATTCAGTTTTTAACCAGACCGTACCTAGCTGTTGTAAGATTCCTGTTTTGAGTAAACGCTAATATATCACTTGTCTGACAGTAAGAAACAGATTATTCATCTGAAGAAATAGTGAGATTAAATTCTGAACTCTAAATTAAAATTTAGGTGCCACTTCTGTAGTTTTGGCATGTTGGAATCTTCTTTGGACAAAAGTTTTATACAGTATTTGCTGAAGTAGATATTTGGACATTAGCCAAATTTTCCTCTGGCAGAGGAAAGAGAAATGACCGTTCTTTTACAAACCAACAAACATAATTTATAAAATTGCATGTTTTAGGCTATAAAACTCTTATTTCCTGTATTCTGCTTTAAAATTCACAGAAATAACTACAGATTTCAGTCTCTTTTTTTGTAGAAAAGATGTTGTGTTTTTTTCCACTGAGAAAAGGATCAAGGTTTCAGAATAAATTGTGCTCAGGATTAAACAGGATCTTTTTTTTTGCTTTTTCAAATTATTTTTTGCTCAAGAAGTTAATTGTTTTATACATGTTTTTATGTCTACATTCTTTCTGTCAGTTCCATTACCTGCCTTCTTGCAGTTGGAACATCATCTAGGTAAAGAAGTAAGGAAAGATTGTCTTCCTTTTAATTTTTATTCAAATTTTATATTGCACTATGACAGATTTCATAGTAGAAACTTTATGATTTTTTAAATTTGTAACTGTGAAAGATAATTCTATAAACACTGTTTATAACTTTTTTAAAACTTGAATGTCGTGGTATGGACTATAAAAAGCCATAAAAATCTACAGTTCCAAAGAGTAAGTAGAGCGTTTAAATTGTGTTTACTAAATGCAGCATTGACAGGTGTCCAGAAAGTTACAGAGAATAAAGTTTGTTTGTGTGGGTGTTAGTTTTTTTTGTTTGTTTTGTTTTGTTTTTTGTTTTAACTAGAAGTTGTTTGGTTTTTTTACTCCTGTGCAAACTGGCAAATTCATTCTTTCCTTAGGGTAGGATTTCATACGTATATAGCTGAGCTTGACACATAAGCAGTGGAAGATTTTTTTGCTTGGACTCTGGGCAAAAAAAAAAATGTTTTCAGCTACACTGATCTCTGCTCCTGAGTGGTAGTTTAAGTTAATTGTCACCTTTTCTCTTCCCCAAGATGTTATAATTTCCCAACTCTGAAGACACTGTTTTCATTGAGGGTAGCGTCTCTGCCACCCGAACCACACTATATGTTGTGAAAGGAAAATCCACATCCTTTTATTAAGACTGAGTTTTGTCTTTTTATACATGCGTTATTGGCATGGGAGGGGTGGCAGTGTCTTAATCTTGTGTTCAGAATTTCCTGTTTTCTGCAGTCCTTATGAACCACAGCCCTCATACCTGTGGCACCACATAATTTGAAAACGTTGCTCTCTCCAGGAGAAAGTTTTGTGAAAACTGCCCTAACGAAAAGCGCCTGGTTCTTGCGGAAGTTTTTGTTTTTATAGATGTGGGGATAACGATTAACTCATTACAACTGATCTCTTATGACCTAATGTTTCAAGAATAACTTCTGTAACTGTTCATCAGGATGTCCCAGTCAAAATATTTTGTTTTGTGTTGATCTGTCTCCCCTTTAGCTTTCCAGAAGACTGCAAGAAAGAGATTGGAAAGTTGGGGATCTCTTGCAAGCGGTGCTGAAATATTGTGAAATGATAGAGAAGGCATCTGATGGAGAAAAAGCTCTAAATAAGTCTTTCGTCAGTTGGCTTCTGGAAAATGTCTGAAAAGTCCAAAGATGCAACATTCTTCACTTCATTCCTCGTTTGAAAGGAGATAGAAAGAACACAGATGTGTAAACTAAAATTCAGCTAGTGAATGTTTAAAGTAATAGTCAGCAATTAAAAGACTTGGAGGTGAAAGTCAAAATAACTGTGCTGTGCTTTGTGATACCGTGCACATGGTATGTTTATTCAGTCTGTAATTGGTATTGTCCACTCACACATAACTTGTATTTACTGCTGTGTTCAGACCATTGAAATATTTATGAAAACATCCCTTGTCTATGATAGTAGTTCAGAGGAGGCAGTCTCAGGCATGATGTTTAGGATTCCCACTGTGCCAGGATAGCTCTTTTTTCCACTCCTGTGTGTGCGCTATATTCACTCACAAAGACTGAGAGCACTGATTTCTGCAAGGATCTGTTCTGCAAGGAATACTGTGCTGTAGACAATGGAAAAAATTATCAATCTTGACCAGACCTTACGTGCCCAAGAGCACCATTGCCAGGAAGAAAATTGTGACCTGCCCAAGCAGCCCCTAAATAGCCACCTTTATCAGTTTTAACTTTATGCGAAGGTGGAAGGGTCTGCTCAGAATTGCTGAGATACAAATACATGTTCCCTTTTGTTGACTACTGTAGAGCTGATAACTTCTGGTAGAAGGGCAGAGTGAGTAGTTGATCATAATTTCATGCATAATTCTTCAGCAAGGTTTCCTGCAGCTTTCCAATAAAATTTAAAATGCTAAGTTTTTTACTGAGGCTTTTTGTATGCAGATATTTCTGTGACACTGATTCTGTGTCAAAGAATTTATATGTTAGTCTCTCACACAGATGTGTTAAAAGTAGCAGATAGAAATTTATGAGGATTTTGGCTGTCTTTTTGACTAGTTTTAATTCTTTATTTCTTAGCAGTCACATAAGAATTTTCAGTAAAAAAGATAATTTTGTTACTCAGTAAACATGTAAGCATTTAGCAAAGAAAGCTAATTAAAACGTAAAGGGGAAATTTCTTGCAAATTGATTTTTCATTTTAGTTAACTACCTTCACTGAATTTTGTTTGAAGGGACTTTTAATCAAATATTTTTAACAGTCTCATCAGGTTTCTCACCAGTGCTGCTGACTTGCCTTTCTGTCTGAGGGGAAATCTGGACCTTTACATACCCTGTGGTTTGAAAATGTTTTTTTGGGTTTTATTTTTTTATATAGCCTTTGAGAGAAAAAGGCACGTGCTGGTAATTACAAGGTTGCCACCTCAAACTTACAAAAGAATCACAGAGCCTTACGTATTTTGGATGAACAAAAAAAATCTTTAAGGTTTTTTCACAGAAAAATAGGCTGTTGATATGGTGTACAAGATTGTTATCCCAAACAAGGAGAGAGAGATGATCTCTAAATCTATTCCTGAATTTGAATGGTGTATGTACAATTCTGATCTCTCCTACTCCATGAATTACTATGAGGTGTCACACTGGTAAAGTCGAGATTACTCTCCTTGGAGTGTTTTCATGTTTCAGGAAGGCATTCCACTGGCCTTTTTGTAGAGATCTGGTTTATTTTTGTCCTCATTTGTCATCTGGATTTCTGCCTTGGATCTCACAAAGTTCACCTTTCTTACAGAGCTAAAGATTTTTAATGTTTTTCTGTGTGCACGTACATGTATACACACGTGCATACACAGATATGTATGTGTGTCTGTTTGTGTATGCGATCTCACCAATGTGAACTTAAAATGCAAACTTTAGCCACTAAATTAAAATTCTGTTACGCTCATAGTTTTATTACGTCACTTCATATATCATTTCACTGATGGAAAAATATGTGTATGCCATGTGACAAAAAGACCAAAAACTACTTCAAGGTCTTTTGTTGTGGATAATAATGCCAGGTGTCAGGAATGATTTTTCTCTAGAGCCCAAAGCAGGGCAGGTGAAGTTATATTAATTCCTGTGTTTGGAAGATGGGCCTAGTAGTAGATATTTTTTAAGAATTGTACAAAAGTTATCTGGATTTTTTTTTCCTCCTCTATCCCATACTCCTTTCTTTTTTTTAAGGTTGACTTTCAGTGTTGTTTTAGACAAAAATTTGAAACAATTCTCTGGCTGTAACATCTTCCCTAGTACAAATTTACTTTTAAAATTGAAATACCAAGAAAATAAAATACTAAGAGCAGTGCCTCGAGAGTAAGTTTTGCTCACCAAGTGTAATTTCAAGATATGAGGATACAGTAGTAATAGTAAAGTGTTTCTGCACATGTCCAAATTGAGAAAGATATTGAAGGTATTGTGAATGCACAAAGCTGTACATTTGAAAAAAAAGACACACAACAAAACACAACCAACAAAAGAACACCACAGGAACAACCATTTTTTAACTGATTTATTCAGTATGTTGGATTTTATAAAGTTGGTGAAGTGTTTATTCTTTCTAATGACTTCTGTGGAGAAGGGCAGAAAATTGTGTGATTCCCAAAGCTTACAACTATTCAGAAAGTTAAATAGACAATAGTTGCACTAAAATTACTTTTATAAATGGAATCTTGCTTTCAGGCTGGATCAAATATTTATGTAACTATTAATTGGTGTTATATTAAGGAAGAACTTGTTTTATTAGCCTCTGGGGAAGGTAGCATAGTTTCCAAATTTACATGAGAAAAATGTTGTAAAATACATTTTTACTGAAAACAAGCAAAGAAACCAAACCAGTTTTCTATACAAATTTGTTCTGGGTGACTTGACTTTTCTCCTTGAGTATGAAATTAGGAAAACATTAAACTAGCCTGGCAAAATTATTATAATGTAATGATTTTAATAATCTTTGGAAAACCTTACTCTGACTATATCTAACTGGTGCTGTCTGTCATATTAGTGAGAAAGCTATTCTTTGCTAATGAGAGTCTTAAATTATGCTGTTTCTGAGTTTGTTTAAAACTCCTGACCACTGATACAGAAGTGTAAGTGAAAATATGTAAAAACATGAAAGGCCGCATTCTGGACCATTTAAAGCAGACAACTCTGCTTTATAAACAAACATAAAAAGGTAGAGTTTATTTCATCTTGCATTTTTTCTGTGTGGGAAACCCTGGTAATTTAATTTTTAAGTTGAGGAAAGTACATCCAATGATGTTATTGTTTCAGAAGTCACCCAGACACTTCATAAATACATTTGGTGTTCTGAGAAATGGAAGTGTTGGGATGCTTTGTAAGATTCTGTGGAAAAAAAGCACTTTGAAAATAGTCCCTCTATAAATTAACAATTAAAAGTTGGCCATATTTAAAACAAGTTTAAGCATTCAAAATGGGGTTCATAAATAATACAGAAGTATGCATAAAGCCTTAAAATCAAACAAAACTCAAACCCATATGCTAAAATTAAAGAGGATTTGTTGTCTCAAAATAAGGATGTGAAAATATAGCTAAGATGCGTACTTGAATGCAGTTTCTGTAGTATCTTTGTTCTTCGAGTTTTAAAAGATTGTGTGAGCTTCTTAGAAAAAACCCAACCAAAACCCAAAACCCCAGCAATCCACATTCCAAGACTAATTAGGTCTCTAAAAAATGTTATCAGATTTTAAATGTTACGTTTTCCAACGTACCTTTGTCTGGGACCTTTTCTATGAACAGCCACGTATTGTTGGAGATGGGAACACAGTAAATAATAAACCTGGTCACCAGCGTAAACCCCTGTAGTTTTAGACAGTTGATTAGCAGTTTAAAGTATGAGATTCAGGAATGATTTTTAGTGTAAGAATTTTGGCTTTTCAGCAAGAGCCTCTGCTGTCAAGCATTTACTGTACTTGAGCTCTGAAGGGGCAAGTACAGAGCCCAGCCACTGTAGTCACTTTATTTTGCACCATCTTTGTACATTCCTGTTGTATAGCTGGAGTTGTAGTTTTAGAGGGCCTTTGTTCTGTTTTAATGTCTGAATAGTATTTAATACTAAATTTTATTATAATTTGCTGGAACTGCTGCTTATTTGTGCAGTGTTGCAGTAATTCACAGCCCAGTTAGTGATGCAATTGTATACCAAAAGCAGTTTGAGTAACTGTAAATGTTTATGTAACTGTACTCAATGAATATGAAGGTCTTGTACTGTATAATGCTGACAAGTTTTGCCATTTTAGTAATTTAACTATATTCAGTTTTCAGATTATGAACTCCAGGTTGCACTAAACTTGTCCTTGTTTTAGCAGTGGCTTAAAATAAAACACATTTCACTGGCTTGGAGAGTGCTGTCGTTTCTTGTAAATTCATGGAATATTATTTTTCTTTTCAAGTAACACAACTAAGACTGCTCTTGGTCAGTGGTTGTGTGAAGGCACTTGAAGAATGGTATAGTAAATAATGTATCAGTAGATGGCATACTTCTTACAGAATTAAATTGGTGTCCAGCAGGAAACGAGAATGCTATTCTCCTGTCTTTGATTTGAAAGGTAAACCCATTGTTCCACTTACATGCAGTAAAGTGTCACATGGACTCTAATCTCAACACAGGTAGGATATAATAACCAGTCCAGCTCAGCCTCATCTTGCCTGGAAGCTAGGTTAGGAAAGTTGTCTTGATATTTCTGTGTGGACTGAGATAGGACTTTGGCACCTTGTACAGCATTTGGAGAATTGGTTTAGAACCTAGCTTTAGAGTCTTCTGGACAAATGAAAGAATACACTGCTAATGAAAATGTATGAAACATGAAGTTTCATAGCCTTCTTCAAAATCCTCGAGTGTTTGGCATCTGTTGAAATGTACCAAACGGCATATTGTCAAGCACCCCAAAATAGTAATGCTGAGCAGACATGATGTGCCCAGGTACCAGTTCTAAGATTAAAAAGTACTGCCATTGCAAATAGCTGTCGTAATGCCTTTTGACGTAGAAGTTGTGAATCTACTAATCTCAGCTGGGCTTCATTTCAAGAACTAGGAAATTTTTGCTGAAGTTATTTTAAAAACAGTAAGCATGAGCAACTGTCCCTGATTAATTTTGCAATGCTTGCTTAAAGGAGGTTTCTATAGTATCTGGAGATTGCTTTCAAAAGGAGCATTCTTATGTTTCATTACTGTGTCTGTTCCAAAGATTTTTTTTGTTTGGGTAATGCCTCATGGTCAATCACATAGAAATTATATGTTAATTGAAACAAGTAAATATCTTATTCTTCAAGTTTTGCACTGCCAAAAAAAGACAAGTAGCAAGTTTGGGAACAAAGATTTTTGTAAAGGGAAAGAAGAGGATATTCATGTGGAAGATAAATCTGAGCTTTTTCCTTCCTGCCTGGACTTTATTTTTCTTTCATTCAGCAGTCTGGTTCTGGCTGGCTTTATTCAACCACAGAACAGTATCCGTGCACTTTGTTTAACCTTGGTGTATTAAATTGAGAGTTAAGTCTCCAGCTAGTCCGTAGTCTTCGCCCAACATGTGTTGCTACTCCATCTCCTGCTGCTATTGCTCGGACCTTTCTCTTGCTCCCCAGCTTGAGCTTCTGGTGTGACTGAATTCCATGCTGGCTACTGCTCTGAGCCTCCGATTGGAAGGTGGCTATGGAAAGTGAGTCATGCCAAGGCTGAAGAAATGTACCCAGAGCACTGACCTTACTGGTTATGGAGCACCATATGAATCAAATGCTGTCTGTTTCCCCTGCTGTTAAGACAAACCACGAAGCATGTGACTGCTTGAGGCAAGGGAATTAACAGTGATGAACATGAGACCATGTCTGTGGTCAAGGTACTGGATGGTCTAGTCCATGACTGCACAACACCTTTCCACAGAAATTGCAAAGACTGGAATTGGGGCCTTTATGTAGTCAAAACATACAGTCTGCATTGCCTTTATCCCTCCAAAAGTTGCTGCTGCTTCTAGGACTGTGAGGGAGCTTTCTGTACATTTATTTGAGTTTGTTTGTTTTTAATTAAGAACTGGCAAAAGGAAAGACTTGTACAACCCATTTGCCCTGGTTTCTTGAAAATGCAGTGCTTCAACCAGGTATAAGAGGAATATTGAGGAAAGAAAGGATGTAGTAGTGTGATACTTTTTTCTGCCATCTGCCCTGTAGTCCACTTATTGCCAGTGTCCTATTTTGTACAGCCTCCATCTCAATTAACTTCTGAGTTTCTTCTTACATTTTCCTTGTGGCTATTTCTTGTTTCTAATTTTTTCTGACCCTCATCCAGTCTTGCAGTACCAGCTATCGTCTTTGGTTTCTTTTTTTGACCCTACACTGGTGTCCTGATGTGACTTCAGGCCTTTTCATTCTTGGCGGGTGGAAGTGGTTAAAAACCAGCAAGGGGAGTCTTCCTAGCTGTGAGGGTATGGAATAAGGCTTGCCTACCAGAAATCATCAAGCAGTGAAGAAGAGCTAAGCTTGCTTTTGGCTGAGTTCTTTACTCCTGTAGGAAAGTAATCTGTGGTTGCTTTGGTTTGGAACCCAACTTATTTCTTGCAAAACCCTTGGATTTTATGCTGATCTGAAAGTAACTTTTAAGCTGAAAGTAAAATATAATGTAACTCCAACATACTATGTAATTCATGCAGATGAGTGTGCAGTGTGCTGTGTAACAGCAGCTTCTGGACACAGAGCACAGCTCAGTCCTTTTGAAAGCTGGCAATACTCAGCTGTCCCGTTGAACTCATTACAGTATGTTATGCACTTGTATCAGAGAAGAGTTCACAGCTAAATCCATTGGATTTAAAAAGCACTGGGCCTAGGAGAGCATCCAAGTTAACTGTTACAGGACTTTGAGATGCTTAGCTAATATTTCTGTCTGTGCTAACAGATCATACATGTTATTCATTCTTATAGCTAAGGAGGTTCAGAACTTGTCTTGTGTCCTAATTTATTGCTGTAAACCATGATACGAAGATTATATCCTAATGAGTCAGAGTCATCACAGGGTTAAGCCTGAGACATCCTGACAATCCTAGTATGTGCTGGCATCTTCAACAAAACCTCTTTTCCTGTGACTGCCTGAGAAAACAAAGAGGTGGGTGTTGGAAATTCCCCAAGGAGTCTGGAGGACCCTGATCAGTATGATCAAAGTGCTTCTGAGAGGCTCCTAAAGACACAGATTCAGGGAATTTGGTAATTTTTGTCAAAAATTATTTTGTGAGTTTTTTTCTCCTTATGCAAATGTTGGAATGCCACTGCTTATGGTGTACGCACAGCTTGTAGCAGCATGTTTAAAATTTGACTTTATTTTTCTCCATTTATTTATTTTTCTCCATATATTCTCCAGCTAGCCACAACTGTTAAGAGAAAATTTAAGTATATAAAAAAGTCAACCTTGCTGAAGTCATCCAAATTACACTGGATGAGTGATTTAGATGAATTAGGGAAATAACCATTAATCTGAATACATGGCAGCAATGGGAGGGTTGGTTGTTTCCATTGTTCATTTTTAATTCTCTTCCCTAAAATGTGAACCTTTTTTTAATAACTAGACTAAAAGTGCAGTAAAGCTAAAGCTCGTGTAATTGTATCTTATTAATAAGGAGAAAGAGAATGAACTGTGAACTTGATTCTGGCAGCCCACTTAATTTGAACAAAAATTAATTTCCTACCAATTGTCTTCTGTTTGCAAGTCCAGTGTTCAAACACAGTCATGTCCTAAATTCATCAATATCTGTTTTTTTAAATATGGAGTTTCTACAGTCTTGGAATGTTGAGAAGAGTAAAAGTTGCAAAGCTTTTCTTTCTTTTTGATTGTAGTGTCCTTACTGGGTGGTACTTTTTAACTAGTCCACCCTCTCATCCTGGTAACTGTCAGCAAGGGTTATGTATTGCACTGACCTCACATGGTATCCTCGGCACCTCTTCCCCGGAATTCCTGCATTTTGCTTTCCTGACTTGGCTTTGATACCACTCTCTGTTCCTAAAAGGTCTCCCAGTCTCAGGTCCTATGCTCCAGACCCTTCATTGACCCTGAAGAAGGTTTGATACCATCAAAAAAGGTGAAATCTCTTAGAAAGAGTCAGTCTGGACAGGAACGGCCAAACAGCCAGACCTCTGCTGCTCAGCCTCTTCCTTTCCATTGGAATGTGTACAGTCAACTGCCACTGAACAAGACTTAGTCATATGGCTGATAAAAATTAGCCTAACAGATTGTGTCAGAGGAGAGATAATATACATGAGACTTGACGGGCTTTATTTTCAGTTTGCCCGTGAACCTGGTTTTGATACCTACCTCTGCTGAATCCTTACTTGACCTGAGGGAAGACCTGTGCCCTTCAATCACTCTTGTATGTCTCCCTCTGTAAAGTGGGACAAGGCTCCTGGGCTCTTCTGAAGAGTTTGGAGCATTAGCAAAGAGGAATGCTTCTTGTAGATGCCAGATCCCACAATAGTTAGCATTTTTCTTACTCTCCCAAATAAATAAAACAAACATTTTACAGTTTCAGATACTTTCCTTTAATAAGGCTCAAAAATTTGTGAGCCTTTTCAGGCAAATCCAGAAATCACTCAAAGACTGTCCCACCCTGGTTGCATGTAGAAAAGCCTTCACAATTTGGAAGTTAATCACATTGTAAGTTCAGGTCTGGCGCCTCCAATGTAAGAATGATGTGGACCTGCTGGAGCAGGTGCAGAGGAGACCACAAAGATGATCAGAAGGCTAGAGCACCTCTCCTGTAAAGACAAGCTGAGAGTGCTGGTGCTGTTCAAGCTGGAAAAGAGAAGGCTTCAGGGAGACCTTACAGCAGCCTCACAGTACCTAAAGGAAGCTACAAGAGTGCTGGGAATGGCACTTTTTAGCAGGGCATGTAGTGATAGGACAGGGAGGAATGGCTTTAAACTGAAAGAGGAGAGATTTAGGTCAGATATTCAGAAGAAATTCTTTACTGTGAGGATGCTGAGGCACTTGAACAGATTGTCCAGAGAATTTGTGGTTGCCCCATCCCTGAAATTGTCCAAGACCAGATTGGACAGGGCCCTGAGCGACCTGGTCTAGTGGAAGGTGTTCCTGCCTATGGCAGGGAGGTTGGAACTAGGTGATCTTTAAGGTCCCTTCCAACCCAAACCATCCTATCTTTCCAAGTACTTAACTGTTCTGGAAACCTTTCCATGGGGAGTCATAAGGATGAAATGTCTCTCTCCCTGTTGTAGATGATGACTCACCTTCAAAGCAGTAGCAAACCCATGGCTACATGGCTAGGAGTTAGACAACACTTGAAATGCAAGGATCTGAAGGTCCCCTATGATATTGTCCCTCATTGTATTGTTTTCCCAAGGGCATGGCT